TGAGCCATGTGATTCAGGAAGACCTTAAACAAAATCCCCAAATCTTTAGTGCTTCACACGTTGTGGATCACAGTTCAGCTTTCAGGTAGATATGCGTGCATTTCCTCAACCTAATCCTTCTCACCCCCTTCAAGTGAACAGCTCTACCTCAACTGATCATTATTAAGGGAGTACCATCTACTTTTTCATTAATTTGACCAGAAAACAAGACTATAAAATTACATCAGATTAGATCTTTGAGAATTGTGTCTAGAACATCAAGGAAATTTTTAAATTTATGTACTATTTTCCTTACTGATGTTATGTCATTAAAACTGGAGCCTTTAATGTTACACCTCAAAATTATTCCATTCCCATCACACCACCACAAATCACAATTCAGAGGAGTTTTTTGTCTAAAATTGTTTGCTTGTTTTTATCTCCCAGCATAATTTCCCAATTACTTTATGTCTGGGCAGTTCTTGGATCAGGTATGGTCTCACAAGGCAAACCATTCTGCAAGGGCAAGGTCGGATTTCATGCATTTTCCAATCCTCAATAGTTAGTTTGTATGTTTAAACCAGCGTACTTCTTTTGCAGCAGATATTAGCATCTTTGTGCAAAGCTCTTGGTTTTAGTCTTCTAACAACTGCAAAATTCTACTGATAAAGCAGACCCAGCACCTACACTTTTACCCCTTCCCACCTCTTCTGCTCTACCTCCTTACCTTGGCTAATTCCCATCTTTCTAAGAACCTGTCCTTTAGATATGGGACTGCTGTAATCAGCGCGTTGAAGGCGTGCACGTCAGCTGAAAATGTAAGAGAATTTGGTTTAACTGACAATTATATTCTACAGTCAACAGTTTGTTCTAACATGGCTCAGTTTTTGGCGAAGTCTCATGCAAACCTGCTTCCAGTGAGCCAACCACATGCCAGCTGCACTGAAATAAAAGTTTGCATTCAGCTCCCATGATCTAGCTGAGGTCCGTACCCCTGCGCCAATCATCATTGCCATGAAACAGTCATGTAACCAACAACAGGCTTCTGTTACTCAGAAGACCACAAAGCAAACCCATGAGACACCTACCCTTGTGTCTTTCATTCAGCAAGTCCATGTACATGTCATAAGCTTTAGCAAAAGCCCCATGCTGCAAAAAACCAAAAACAACAACAAAAATAAAAACAAACAATCTCTGATTGTGTGAGATTTCACAAGCTGAAAAAGGTTCTCCCAGCACTGAAGGATAATGTTACCTTCACCATCCCACGGATCATTGTGCAATAGGAGTGTGGATTCCTCTCTGGCATTATCTTAAATATCCTTTCAGCATTGTTGTTCTCCCTAGAATCAACCACCAAGCTGAATGTTAAATAACTCAATAAAAGATACCTTTAGGAAAAGGTTTCAACATGCAGAACAAAATAACAGGCTGTACTCCCAAGGCCTGACACTCAAATAGATTACTTGTGATACTAGATTTGCATCAACACTTTAAAAGATTAGCACAGATATAATACAGTCTTGAAGTCTATTTTATAACAACAATGCATGTGCACAACCCATTAAATACGGGAATATTGTCAACGTTTTCTATACCTCCATCGAGAGCCAGATAACTGTGAGCCTCTTTGGAACTGTCTCTTTGGAGCCTTCTGCTCTGAAGCGTTCACCTGGAGAGATTTTTACAGAAGTAAGTTTCTCAGAGTCCAAAGTTATAATTAAACATCAAATGATGTGATCTGGTAACAACACAAAAGTTCAGCAGCAATTTTTATGCTACCAAAGGTGCTTTTTAACGAGTTACATTAAAATAATTTATATTACAATGTTCAGGAAGTAATAACTACATTAAGAATACTGTTTATGTTATTAAACATACTAACAATGTAAATTATATGTATTAATGGAGGTGGTGGGAATCATTGGACTATAGCAAATACTCGGTAAAGGGTATTTTCTCACTCAACATCCTTCCCAGGGACAGATATTGTGCAACACACCTACTACCATACCCTGTGACCTGATACTCTGAGGTCACACAAGGAGCCCTCGACTTCACTGAAATCTAATTAATATGGTTCAGACTGAAAGAAAATTAACTAGCTCATCTACACTAGAGGTACTAGAGGTCGTCTTTGCAGGCAACTATAAAAACAGGGCTGCCAGGAAGTTATTTAAATGCAGTTCAGCAGAACTAAGCCAAGACAGGGCTTCAGTAACTAAGTTCAGCTTTACGAGAACTACTTTTGCTACCAGGTCAGACACAGGATTTTTATAACTGCTGTAACTCTTGGGAATGTTGACTGCATCTGACCCAGCTCACACCATCTCCCAGGCAGGTAGTCACAGTACAAAAATCTTGACATCACCTTGATCACACCCACTACGAAAACCAGAAAGCCAGAGAGATCAACAGGTTTTTCGTACCTCTGGTTCTTCCAAATCCTCTTTTTCTTCTTGCTCTTTTTCTGGAGTAGATTCTTCATCTCCATAGAAGCATAACAAATCTAAAAGGCTGTTTGTGGTCTCCAGAGATACAGGCGTACCTACAGAAAATGAGGATGTACAACAGTCGCAGAGAAAATAAAGACCACACCATTCTACAGCCGTCTCAAAAAACTTTCGAACACTCAGTTATGTCACTTTATTCTCTTTCAACATAAAAGTGATCTCTACCAAGTCTGTAAAACCTGAGTGTGACACTAATACTTCCACAAACCCACTCACAGCAGGAGACAATTTTAATACTGAACTAAAGTATCTGGTTTTGACTGAAGCCACTGAAAGGTAGAGTTTTCCTGACCAAGTGGGAGAGGGAAGTGGCAGCTAGCAGCCAAAACTGTGAAGAAGCACAAGCCCAACACAACATTCAAAATTTCTAGTGCTTTCCATAACTACTGTTAGGATACACCCTGCTGTGAAGATCACTTTGTGTGTTTCACTTTCTATGAAACAGATTTAAAACCAAGAAAAGAAAAGAGCTATTTGATGGAACAATCTCCTTTCCACCTTGTAGTGGATATGAGAAGGTCTCACCTTCTCAGTAAGTCTTCCTCCTTCAGAGGCTGCGGCAGTTACACTTTTCTATTGCCTCCTCCTCATTCAGCCACAATAGAGACAAGATCCAAATTAAGGAAAAACTGAGAAAGACTTATTTATTGAGAGCAGGTCCACAGAAGGGGCACTCAGCTGGTACGCTACACCAGTCCAACACAGCAAAGTGCTCAGCACAGATGTAGCTTATACCAAGCAATATGCTGCTGAACAAGGGCCTTCACAGGCAGAATGCTATCACCCAAGCACATAGCATCTGCCCGTAACAGGCGCTGTTCTACTGCATCACAATTCTTCTACTTTGGAAGGGAAGAAAAAACCCTCATATTATCTGCTTCTCGATCAAGAAATCATTTGTTCTCCTTATCACAAAGAGACATGTGAGGCAAGCAGTGCATAAGGAGGGCCCAATAATTCTGGAGAACCACTTCACCAGACCACAGTCAGTTGTGAAAGGCAGCAACAGTCATGAAATTGTCTCCATAGCCTGCACCAGCTACTAAAATATTTTTTGACACAATTTAAGTGGAGCTCCACCACAGAATCCGGTGTGTGACCACATACCTGCTTGTACGAGCTGATTGAACAGGTCCACAGAATCTTTCACCCTTCTGAGGTGGATACGCTCTTTTAGAGCTTCCTCGCTCACTCCTTCAATCTGAGGTGTAAGTATCTCAGGCATCAAGCACTAAAAGCAAAGTGTGCAAGTTAGACACAAGCTCAAACCTTCTCTAAACCATTGCTAAACCACTATCCAAATATCCTTACTCTTCACCCAGTACACTGCTTTGATAATCTCCCAATCCTCCTAGCATAACAACAGCAGTCTCTTTTGGTGATGAAGAACCACACATCCTGATCTCTCACTTCCATGCTAGTAACTCAACATCTAAACATTTCTTTTCTTTTACCTAAAGAACCTGATATGATATCGAATTCCTAAGGAAAAATGTTCACTTCAGAGACACAGTGGAAATACAGTACTGCTTTCATAGCTGTCTGCAAAACAGTGAACAAAATTAACCTTTTATGTTAGTTTTGGACCAGTCTGACAGTTGATTTCACTACCTGACAAAGCAAAAATACAACGAAAATGAAAAGCAAAAAGCTTACTGATATGTTGGGCTCTGCAAAAGTCTTGTCAAAATATTGAGGAAATTGCTTAATAATGTATTTTGCAGCATTTCTCCCAGACTCCTTCGACAATGAAAACAGACGCTGCATAGGAATGAGAAAGAACAAGATGAAGAAACACGCAATTAAAAGGCTGTGAGTGAGGAAAAACATTTTCCGTAACACTGAACATTCTGATGTGATCAAATTAAACTCATGCCTCATTTTCAACTCTCAGTAAAAACACAAGCATGAGAGAACATTCCAGATAAACATTCTACTACAGAGGCAGGAGGAAGAAATAACTGTGTGCACAGTGGATTTGTCCAGAGAAATGCTATGGGAGTTATGCATTCAGAAATACACAGAGGAGAAAATTCTGAAAGAAATCTGGTACTTCACTTTCTTTTGTAATTGAGATTAGACTCCAATTAGAGTTTTCATAGATGAATGGGGGGAAAGGGGGGGGAAGGGGAAGCTATCAAGGATTTGAAAGGACACACTTACAGAATTGGCTGCATTTCTTGGCATAAGGAAAGGGTCATCCTGGAACATATAATGAGCAGCAGTAGGATCCTGTAAAAAGGAGAACCCAGGACTGAAATGTTTATAGTTAAGTACACAGGCATGCTGTAGGCGTATCACACTGCCTCATGGAATTTAAGGTTGCATCATACCCACCACCTGACGCTACTTTTACAAAAGCTCTTGTCAAAAGGTTTAGCCTGTTTGTAAATAGTTAAAAAAGCATTTCCATCGTACACACACATGCAGGCTAACATAGTAACAACAAAAGGGTCCTTACTATAACATGACAAGCAATGAAGTACCCTGCAAAGCAAGTAGGACCCCAACTACAGCAGTCTCAGGGGAGCTGAGGGGGCTTGTACAATCAGACAATTTCCAGAATTCAAGGCAGACAGGATTCAAGACAGATAGGATTAAAGAATGGCATCACAGCATTTACAGTTGTTGCTTAGCAAGAGTAGACTCTGATTGCTCTTTCCAAGGCTTACTTTCTGGACTGAGATTGGGAAAAGGCAGTCTGGATTGGGAAGTTAAACTTGTAAAGGAACTTGCTCCTGATGTTAGCAAAAGCCTTATCAAAATATTACAGCTTTCACTGGTAGTTGCAGCTGTCTCTTAGCACTAGAATGAGGCTTTAAGGACACAGTAAAATGCATTGAGCAAAAGTGAAAACCCTGTACAAAAATGGATGTAAAAGTCCCATCTTTCATTTATGGCCAAAGAAAGAGCCTCCAGAATGCCAGGCTACTGTCTGAGAATGGACAACTCGACCTATTTCCATGATCAAAAGAACTACTTACCCTGTTCACGGTAGAAGCCAATGTCTGAAGAACGGCTAGCTTATCCCTAAACGTAAAGGACCTTTGATTAATACTCGGTTACAGACTTTGAATGTTATGCATCACATTGTATGCAGAACAAGCACAGGAGTATCCTGGCCCATAAGCATTTTCAGTTCTAGGATATAATGGTTTTGCTGCACTTTTGTGACCACTTTTTGCAAAGGGAGGGAAAATTCAACTGCAAAAACAGTCTCAGTTCTGGAACAACCACAGGCAACAGAAAAGACTTTGAGGAAACCCAGAAAAGCATGCGTGTTTTCTGCTACCACTCCTGCCCTTATTATACCTTATCAATGAAAGAACATAGGGAAGGGACACAGAAAGAATTGCCTAAAATGCTCCTCTCGGAGTCCCCCATCTCTGAGGGATGGATACATGAGTCCCTCTCCAAGAAAAGTCTTGGGAGGAAAAAAACCTAAAACAAAACTAGATTTCTCAGGACTCCTGTGGATCCTTAAGACTTTGGTTGTGTTTCAGGCAAACAAGGAAAGGCCACTGAAAGTGTTTAGGTGAAGGTGGTCTTATTTTAGGTTTACACGCAGACACCACCTGGCTATTAACTTCGGTTTTGCTGTACAGTCATGCAATTTCTTCTTAAGTGCTTCCAACAAAATAGCTTTTGTTCAGCTGCATAATTTCTAAACAGGATTTATTCAGCCAGCTATCAATGATCAAGTTTATTTTACTGAAGGAAACACACCTACGTGCAGACAGCCAAATGACTTTTGATTTTACAGATTTCTAGTGAACGTGATCTTTTACAAAGAAACAGAACTACGCTTAAAAATGCAGTCCCTGTAAATGTTTTTAAAAGAAAGGTCAGGAATGGAGTGTACATACTCTGTACCTAGAGTAAGAGTCAAGAATATTCCC